AAATGCGTTTAGTTTTTCTCCATTCAATATGATGTTGGCTTTGGGTTTGTCATAAGTAGCCTTTATGATGTTGAGGTAAATTTCTTCTATCCCTAGCTTCTCCAGCAATTTTACCGTAAATTGGTGCTGGATTTTATCAAAGACCTTTTCTGCATCTATTAAGATGATTATGTGATTTCTGTCCTTAATTCTGTTTAAGTAGTAGATTACTTTTTTTGATTTGAGTATGTTGAACCATCCTTGGATCCATGAAATGTGATCCACTTTATCATGGTATGTTATCTTCTTGCTGTATTGCTGAATATGGTTTACTAATATTTTGTGAAGGATTTTTACATCTATATTCATCAGTAAGATTAGTCTTATAGTTTTCTTGTTGTGTCTTTTTCTGTTTTGGGTATTACAGTGATATTGGCTTTATAGAACATATTTGGGAATGTTTACTCCCTTTCAATTTCATGGAATGATCTAAGAGAGACTGATGTAGGTTCTTTTTCAAGTTATAATAGAACTCAGCCAAGAATCCATGTGGTCCTGGGCTTTTCTTTTTTGGAGGGCCTTTAATTGATGTTTCAATGTCATTAATTGATATTGGTATGCTTATGTTTTCTATATCTTCTTAGTTTTATTTAGGCAGGTCTTATGTGTCTAGAAATTGCTCAGTGACTTTTAGTTTTTCTGTTTTATTGGAATATACATTTTCAAAAATAGTTTTTGATGATCCTCTGGATTTCAGAAGAGTGTGTGTTGACATTTCCTTTTGTACCTGTACTTTTTTTGATTTGGGTTTTCTCTCTTCTTTGGTTAGATTGGCTAAGGGTCTATCAATTTTGTCTTCTTTGTTGCATTGATCCTATATATTTTTATACTAAATTTCACCAATTTCGGCTCTGATGTTAATTATTTCCTATATTGTACTGATTTTAGAATTAGTTATTCTTTTTTATGTAAGACCATAAGGTCTTAGATAAAAGATCTCATATGATTGACCTAAGTATAATGTAGGCTAAATAATGATTAATTAAATAATGCAAGAGAGGGCCATTAATGTGTAAGTTACATGAATGTTTATGATGTTGAGGTAAATTTCTTTGTGTGTGTATACATATATTCAAACCTATCCTTGCAGTGTGAGTATACACAACCACACATGCACATTTACATACACAGAAAATCACACAAAATTTTTTAAAAAATGAATAATACTACAACATGATGAAATAATTTTTTAAAAAAATGAAAAATATTTTAAAATTTAAAAAATAAAAAATAGGAATGTGAAGAAAGAATGAAATAAGGAAAAGGAAAAGAAAAAATAAAGATAAAATGAAAGAAAAAGAGAAAGTCTTAATGAGAGAGAAAGAACTTGTTTCTACTGCAGTGGTCAAATCTGTAGGCAGCAATGGATTTTCAGTCTTTACTTTTATTTCTAACTCCCTATTTTTGGCCACTGTCCTTGTGTTCCTCACCTAGCTGTCAGCTAATTATAGTAGTGCTCACCTTCTAATCTCCCAGTATTGGGTGGGATAGAATGGGGAGTCCTGATGAATTATGTAATCCTATAGTGTAGATGATGCAGACTTCTAGATTGAAATTTCCCGTTTGGGGGGTTTGGACTTTGGAGTTCTGTGGGTAGGTATTTGAGATTTGATCTACTCTGTATACTGACATGGAGCTTCTATCACTGATGGATTTTGGATCTCTGGGGCATCTGGAAAAAATCCACTTTTAGAACATAGGGACCAAGCCTCGGCAGGTTTTACCTTCAATATTATGGATATGAATTATCGGTTTCTTCCCAGAATCAGATGCAATTGTGTGGCCACAGTGAGACTCCTCACAGTAGCTCTTATGGGGTGCCAGCCATTATGGGATTTTTCTCCCTTGGGATCCAGATGCTAAGTGGTTCACTTAAAACATTCTTTGGTTCCATTTCAGTCTCTCAGGTTCAGGCACCTTTGGGAATTTGTTCTCCGACTGCTGGTAAAACTTCCCTTATAAGTTTACAAGGTCCCATCTCTGTAAGCAGCAGTGCAAGCTGCATGGGGCCAGATTCCAGTTCCCGGGAAGTTTTCCTCACCTGCCATCAGGTTCCGGGCTCGGGGGAGGGTTTTCCACGTTGCATTCCTGTGTCTGCCTGTACAGGGCTTCCTGCCCCCACCAAGCACTTTCACCTCAGTGGACCACTTAGGATTTGTTTTCCCAGAGAAGCTTACCCTACCAACTCTATTAAAATTAGTAAACTGCAGGTTTCCCCAAGTCGATTTTTCTTTATTTTAAAATTTCTTTATCTGCTGGTCACGCGGCTCCTTTGTCTGCACTCCTCCATTTCCTCCACTGGCAGCTGGAGCTGCACATCTCTAAGGTAGTATTACTTGTGCTCAGATTACCAACTTTCTGTAGCTCTGTGTTTTGTTTTTACAGGTCAGTATTATGTTTCATTGAGGTTCCTTTGTTACTCGCCTGCTTTCTAAGTCTGGTGCTGAGGCATTGCTGGACCTTCTTCCTTTCTATACTCCGCCATCTTGTTCCTCTACCCATCCTGCTTATTCTAAAACAAAAGGAAAACTTGGAAAATAAGTGAATATAATTAACTGCTTTTAAATTTAATTCAGTAGAGAAATGCACACACACACACACACACATAAATATATAATTTTTATTTTGATGACTAGAAATTCTTATTCTTTTGTTGTTGCTGCTGTTACCAGGGATTGAACCTACAGGCATTTAACCACTGAGCCTATACCCCAGTGCCTTTTATTTTATATTTTGATACAGGATCTCGGTAAGTTGCTTAGGGCCTCCGGTAGTTACTGAAGCTGGCTTACAACTTGTGAGCCTCCTATCTCAGCCTCTTCAGCTGTTGAGATTATGGGTATGAATAACCACACCCAGCTAACTTATAGTTAAAAAAAAAAAAAAAAAATATATATATATATATATATATATAT